GAAAGAGAGAGATGAAAGGGGAAGGAGAGTAAAAAAAAAAGAGGAGGAGGAAAGGGGCAGCTGCACATTCTGCGGCCGACGCTTGTGATATCGTGGGTCCGGCATATAGTAAACAAAACAGAGCGTAGAGCTAACACCGCCTCCTATAAACACCCCTGCCATGCCAGACTAGCAGAGCAAGGATTAACCACGTATTTACTCGATGTTGCTGCTTTAAATTCCTGTGCACATGTGCACTGAGGGTCGACCCGGCGTCTGTGCTGTAATGGTCGTGCTCTTCGTCTCGCGCACACAAGTCATGTAGGGCTCATTCCCCGTGTGGGGGGCTTTCTTTTTTTTTATCGAATATCAACGCATATTTACTGGGATTCTGGATCTGAAGGGTTGTTTAAAAAACTTCTTGTAAAAGATTGTTTGTTTGCTGTTAGTACGAGTAAAGAGAAGCTCATCGGCATAGTCATGGCCATTTAGTGCTGGGAAAACGTAAGACAGGGAGACAGAAATAACGGAAGGAAAGTAAATAAGTAGGACCTTCCAGTGGCGCCCTCCAACCTCTCTCTCTCGTGAGAGTTTTAAAGTAGGCCTACTTGCAACAGACATAGGTGAGGTAAGTGCCGAAGAAAGGGTTACTCAATTAAAAAATAATAGGCCTATGTGTTTTTACGCCCCCCCCCCCACTCCAAATCACACAATTTATGTCACTTAAGAGTAAGAGGTGGGCTTCCGACCCTGCCTGTCAGGCCAACCCGAGCTTAGAGGGATACAACATCCCAGCAGAAATATCGAAATATTCGATGAAAATTTCTCCCAACTCGGGTCTTTTGCATGCCTCAGCGAAGCGTCTAACCGCTACATTACTTGAGAGTAACATACAAAGAAAAGAAGGAGGAGAGATAGGACGATAGTTTGATCGGAAAGAAGGAGCAAACCACACCAGAGTACCCGCCAATCTGGATGAGGATGTCACTCAACCCGGGTTGACCCGGACAAGCAGGACAGAAGCAGCTGGCCTCCCAAATGACATCAACTATGGCCATGGTGCCGCATACTTATATAATCATGTTTACAATCAACTGGTTGGGGTCAGTGAACAGCGTTTGCGCCTACCAGAAGTGTGGTTGTTACGGGTCCCAGTTCCCCTTCTCAACTATTTGAACTGAAGGATTTGCGGGAATTAAATAGAGAGGCCATCGTCCCCCCCCAACCCAAACAAACCCTGTTTGGCTCGAGTAAGAAGACGCACACTGACACAATAACTATCATGAACTTATAGTACTGAAAATTGTATATTGTACAGACTGACAGGAACAACAAAGCGGAAAAAAGAAGAGGACCAGCCAGCGGCGCCCCCTACCCATCCACCAATTTGTGTCGTTGGGAGAGGGAAACAAGTAAAATAAAATCTAAAACTAAAGACGCAATTAAAAATAAAAGGCCCTGGCTAAGCTCACTTTTCCCCTTATTCAGTGCACAGAATGCGTACAATGTGCACATCGCTTCAGATCTGTTACACGACTTGCAAGATCATGATGAGTGTCCTTTAGAGTGTCGCTGGTCACCAGGAAGGGTGTGGCCAGGAAAAAGGGGGAGGGGCGATGCCAGGCTACGACTACGAGTGGCTCATGAGTGCACATGTGTGTGTGTGTGTGTTTGTGTGTGTGTGTGTGTGTGTGTGTGTGTGCGCGCGTGCGTGCGTGCATACGTGGTGTGTGTGTGTGTGAGTGAGTGTGTGAGTGAGTGTGTGTGTGAGAGAGAGAGAGAGAGAGAGAGAGAC